TAAGAGACCTGCAGCAGCCAGGAAGCCCAGCCTTCTGAAGCCCTCCAAAATCAACTCTGTGAATCCGCTTCATTTTTGCCACACTTGTAATCATAAAGAAACAATTTCCACAGAAGTATATACATTACTGTGACTTGATATTTACTCAAGGTCACTGCCATCCCCCACTTGGGAGGTTAGCCATTTGGAAGACGTGCTTAAAATTAACCAATACTGGCTATCTAGTGACTTGAGAGCAGAGCCAAGGGCAAAACACTGAATGGTCACAAATGACCATAAAGACCCTGCTATTTAAGGCTCTTAACACATTATTGGGTTAAATACCATGAAAATAGTTATCCCCAAAGTTACACAGACAGTATGCAGTGTGGAAAGAGACTTAAGAAGGCAAGTTACTGTTTGATATTCCTTCAGGAGTATAATTGTAAAGGATGGGGAGTCAGGAAGCGTGGTTTGCCATCCCACCTCACACACTTACTAACTCATTATGCAATGGATAAAAAGTCCCCGGGGGCCATTTTGTGCTCTTAAGAGGTTCTAATATAATGATGCTCTGAGGGAAGTAGAGAAGGTTTTCAGGGTTTCCAACAGTAGGTTTTACACCTACTGCTATCTTCTTAATCATTGCATAAGTGCTTATATAACAAAAGGGAAGAGGAGAAAGGAGAAGGATAAAGAATGTGCTGGCTGTTGAATCAGCAAAACCAGGCCCTAGGTGTGGCAGTCACACAGAAGCCTCTAGGATGTCCCACCCACAAGGTCAAGGACAGGAATGAATAGTGACAATATGGAGAAAAGCCAAGATTTCCAGGACATAACATTGCTTGTATTTTATAAAGAGCTGGGGTCCTGTGTGCTATGGATCCCTTCGGTAGTCTGGCAAGCCTACGGGTCCGTTCTTAGAATGCTGTTTTCAAGTGCATGAAATGAAATATGTAAGCTACCAAAAATATTAACAGTAAAAATCAAGTCCACAGACAGCAGATTAAGAAATCCTGGCATATAGAGCATAATGCTTTCCAAAGTATTTTTTGGCTTTGACTAAGAGGCCTCTGTGGTGTCACAGAAAGAGCACTGAGTCTGGAGTTGGGAGGACAAGGTTGGAATTCATCCTCTGTTACTTATGAAGCCAAATGTCTGGAAGCCAAGGGCAATGGTGTACCTGGGGAGGGGTATAACACCACTGGAAGGTGTTACCACTGGGGGTAACTGGTCACTGGAAGGCTCTAGAACTGTTTAAACTACATTAATTTTCTTTTTTTCCCCCTCTTCTTGTTATTGGCTCTATGCCTGAATCTCATTCTGAAACTAAAAAATGGGAAGTGCATTTTAGGGAAGTTAAGACTGATGTTTCTGAATCCTAAGCTGACACTTTGCTTAACACCCTCTTAACAAAGAATCTAGCATTCTTTCTTTTTCTTTCTTTCTTTTTTTTTTCCCCAGTAGGTGGGGGAAGTTAGAGAGAAAAAAATGCTAAATAATTGAAAAAAGAATTAAGTAAAAATTTGGTTAAAAAAATGCAGTGGTACTATGTAAGAGTTTTGAAAGAACTCTTACAATAAGTAACTATATAATATAATATATTATATGTAATAATATAATAAGCATATCATAAAAAGTATATATATATATATAAAGGTAACTCTATAATAAATAACTATAACAACACAGAGTTATAATAAGTGTTACAATAAGTAACTCTGGCTTTAGGTTTGTACAGTGTTTCCTACTTTTCAAAAAGCTTGTGTTAAGCTCCCAGAGGTGAACACCACCATTAATCCCTATTTGACAGATGAGGAAACTAAGGCATAGACTGGTAAAGCAACACGCTCAAAATTATATGGAACATCAGTGGAAGAACCAGGACAAGAAGGCTATGTCTCCTGCTTCCTTCCCTATCAGCACAGGAACTCCCAGCAGAACAGAAGGAAAAAAACATTTATTACCACCATGATAGTGAAGAAACGGATGTAGCATTAACATCTGATGAAAAGCAATTATGCCAACCTTCTTTTGTCCTCATGTATCCATTCAATCACAGAGGGCAAAGTCCCATTATTATTATTAATCATTTAATGGGGAGTACCTAGTGTGGAAGGACCTATCAGACTTCAATTATTCTTTCTTTCAGTAAATCAAATTGTTCAGTGGCAGTCACCAGTAGGAATTACAGTTTTAAATATTAGACAAAGTGGATTTATATCCATCATGTATAAAACATCATTTCAACAACACTGCATACAGTATACTGGTACCTATGAATACGTTATAAATTGTGCTCTGTTCATGGAGGGAGACTGACAAATGATTTAAGGTGGAGAAATACAGGAAGGATTAGGGAAAGAACACGAGTAAGGTCATTGCAGAGCTACATGATGGAAGACAGGGCTTTCTTTTTAAAATGCTAACTGGCTATAAACCCCCAAAATGTACTGCTTAAAAAAAAAGTTTCTGGCTAGCTAACACTTCACACATTCAAAAGTATTTGGGGGAAACGTTTGATGTGTTAAGTCAAAGGGTGATCCTACTGTTTTCCCTCATTTTCAAAAAGTACATCATTCCTACTATCCTGGAAAAAAAATGCACCTAGTAAAAAATAAAATCGGCCGGTTCACAAATCACAATTCTAGTAATAAGCTGCCACCTAGTGGACCAACTCTAAATTTAGCGGAAAGGAGACATTTCTATGGGCTGGATGGTGTCAATCACTTTGATTCCATGAGATCACAGATTTAGAGCTAGAAAGGATCTCAGGTCATCTGGTTCAACTTGCTTATTTTACAAATGAGGAAACTGAGGCAAGATTAAGTAAATGCCCTAGAGTCACATGAGGTGATTTCAAATTCATCATTCTGCCTTCCATCCTGCATTCAGAATTTCCTCACGATGGCTTGTACACATGACAGAATCTGCTGTCCTCATCTTCAATTGAGGTCCATTTTCTCCTTTGATTCTATTGGAATTGGTTTATTAAGTTTCCTCAAAGAAGTCAAACGATGATTGGAAGCTGGCAAGTTCATTATAATGTTATCTAGGCAAGCTAACAGTCTGAATCAATTGATTTTGATGGATACGGCCATTCCTTCCCTAAGGAATAAAATGGCTTTCTGCTATTGCACTTAGTAATAAAAAAAGAAACAGAGTGTGCCTCAGACACTTTTTATTTGTAATCCAGACATACTTAGACTACCAAGCTCCCCTCTTTTCATTCTGTACACTTGCAGTTTTAGGGATCAACTATAATTTCCAGTAAAGGTCCAACACTGAGACTGAGTGCATTGCTTCTTATAACATTTCACAACCTTAGGTGTTGTCCAGGATCTCACCCCTATACCTCCCCCTGAACACAGAACCATGCCAGTAACCTATAGAAATAAGCAAGGAAATGTATAAATTCCTCTTGCACCCAGTGGTTCATGAGAACAACTGCTTACTGAACCCAATGGAGAAACCAAGAAGCTGGGATCAATGTTGAAGTCCTTGTAACTTAGGAGATCAGAGCTAAGTTGTGTTTTTTCTTTAACTATTTATCCAGCACAGCACCATACACACTGTAGGTGCTTCATAAATATTTGTTGTTGGAAATGCTAAAGTCCCAATTTTTACTTTAAATACTCATAAGAACAGATATTCTAGAATCACGACAAGTATAAAAGGCTTTAAACCACATCTGAGAAGCTTAATAACATGACAATTTAAAAATCAACTATAATGATAATGATGATGATAATCATCACAGTAGACATTCACATCACATTTTGAAGTCTGCAAAGCACTTTACACACATAATCTCACTTGAACCTCACTGATGGCTAACCAAGAACAAAGAGAAAGATAACCTTGGATCAGAGCTGTGACTAAGAGAGCAGGCAATACAAGGACATGCTTAAAGTCTCTCTGAAGAATCAGTTATAAGACGTGGGAGATGCTGGCAGGGGACCACCCAGCATGGCCTGCATCAAAGAAGGTGCTGTGCTCTATAAGCAAAGCAGAACTGCAGGAGCCACAAAGAAACGTGAAATGTGCAAATGTAGAGACATCTCCGCTCCAAATGGTCATGTGTGTGGTACAGCCTTCCAACTCATAATGGTCTGATCTGCCACAGTCAGAAACACTGTACCTTGACCCCAAAACAGTGACATCATTTTCGTCCATTTCAAGAAGGAAAGATAACAGTCAACACCCACAATGATTGGTGGAAAGGGCTTTGCAAACTTAAAGTGCTATATAAATGATAATGATTATTATTACCCACAAACTGGGACACACGGTATATAGTGGGCGGAGAAGGGAACAGTGAGGGAAAGTTCTTAATACATTTTTATCAATGAAATAATTATCACGACTTCTTCAGGATCTATGATGTCATCAATTGGTAACTTCTACCACCAATACAGGTCACAGCCCTTCATCACCATAGGAAGATCTTGATTTTCTGTGGCTTAAAAAAGTCATTCCCTGGTGGCCAACCTTCTGCTAATGAGCCACTCCAACTTACCTAGGCTCGTCCATAGATGTTTCAAAGACTTTTATTATAATTATTCTTTCACCTCCTCCATTCTAAGTATTGAAAAAATTTCATTCCTTAAAGAAAAGGAATAAATTGATGAAGTCTAATCATTAACCAATGCACAGTCTGCTGCAACAAAGATGGGGAGATCTCACATGGTAGATTTACGTTTTATATTAATGTTGTGGTTCATTTAGACATGTTATCATCCACCGCAAAGAAACAGGACCCTAGACTTAGAGATGAAAGGGTCTTCAGAAGCCGCCTGGCCCAGCTCCTTTACGATACTGGGGCCTATAGAAATGCCCAAAGGCCCACAGGTAAACAGTTTCTGAGGCAGTATTTGAACCCTAGTCTACCAATTCCCAAGTCATGTTCTTCCCATTTCTTTCCTACTTCACAGCACTGTCTACATCATCCCAGACACTGAATGAGAAAGAAGTCTACCTTGGGGAAAATGGATGGTAAGATGATAAAAATTAGTAATTACCTCTTGGTTGTCCTTGTTCTGGGTGGCCCAGAAAATTTTGTGATAAAGGGTCTCCATTGAATTGCTGGAATCAGATCTGTCAAAACAATGGCGATCTAAGACTTCCAGGGTGTGCAAGACCCTACTGATGGTGACCCCTAGAGGAAGAAGAACAAAGTACTCAGTGACACAGGCAAAAGTCAAGTCCACATTACACAAAGATCACCTAAAGAGATGGCTAGTAAATAAAGCCAGCGCTAACAATTTTCAAGACATCCTCAGAAAATTCAGCTCCTTCAAAAATGGAAAGAGTCTAAATGTGGTTCAAGTATCCAACATATAAACCAAATAATATTACTAGGAATTTTTGCCCATGGGGAGAGAGAGTGTCATCTGGAAGGTGACTGCCAGGCTAAGATTCCCATTTAAACTAATTATTCTTACCAACTTGGTCTGGTATTAGATTGTGAGCTCCTTAAGGGCAGGGACTGTCTTTTGCTTTTCTTTGCATCTTCGGTGTTTAGCGCAGTGCCTGGCACATAGTAGGCACTTAATAAATGTTTACTGATTAACAGGCTCTTAATAAATGTTTACTGACTGTGCTGAAGGCCTGCAAGTGCTGACAGTGCCCTCTGAATTCTGGACCCTGAGACAAAGCCCCAGTCACCTTACTTAGGGCTCTGCCTGCAGTCCATTAAGTGTTTGTTATCAAAAACTCTTCTTCATAGGAAAACAATTTCTAAGAATCAAAGAAATCATGGAGCTCAAGAACCAAAACAGTTTATTCATTTCTGCTTTTATATACCTGCTGTCGATTCCTGGCATTTGTCAAAAGACCACCGAACCTCCACGGCACGGCCCCGACGCTTTATCTGCTGTTCAACCTCATAGATCTTTGCCCGAACCTGAAAGACGATTGCTTCTAATTAGCTTCAGCTTGCCACGTCACACTTCCAACCTCAATCATGTCAGGTTTCTCTGCACGAGGGAAGCATCCTACAGTGTGCTCACATTCTTAACGGCATTAGGAAATGGCAGCCCATTGCTCAAAAATGGGCCTTTTTGGGGGGCTTAAGGAGAGGGAGGAAGGGAGTTTACAAGTTTCATTGAACTATCCCACTATCAATTTTGATAATAATAAATGTCAATTCAGAAATACTGCACAAGTAAAAATGTCAAGAGCACCATATACCACAGTGAGAGCTCTAAAATGGATCTTCGCTGCTATTCTATGAGCAGGGGGAAAAAAACCAAAACTTCAAAATGTCCCTAACTGAAAGAAAGTAGTTACAATCCTGCAATTCAAACTGCATAATCTTTTAATCCAAGTAATCCAGCATTTGCTGAAATGAAATAATAATTACTAAGCCATCACACCTAATACACTCAAACGCTGCCATGGAAATAATCGCCCATGTCTACCACTGGTTCTACTCGCAACCAAAGGTAGAATTCGTCCGTCCCCATCTTTAACATACACACACAAGTTCCATAATATTTTCCAGGGGGTGGGAGGGAGGGTAAAAAGAAAAGAATGAGAAGGAGCAATTTTAGTGGCTAGAGCCATCAACGGATGGGGATGGAGATGGAGAACAAGTAGGAGATGGCAATAAAGATGGGGATGGGAATGGAGATAAAGATGGGGGTGGGGATGGAGATAAGATGGGAATGGGGATGAGGACTGAAGCTATAATTTCACCGGCATAGGGAACTCCCACATGCCAAAACCACCATCTGTACCTCCTCTGCAAGGTCTAGCTCAGTGATCTGGAGCCCCAAGGGCTTATGTGACTGGCCCAAGGTCATAGAATCCACAGAGTAAGTATGCTAGAGATGGACCATGAATAGAGATCTTCCTGGCTTTGAGGCTGGCTCTCTATTCACTATGTCAAACTGTCTCTCCAGAACCAGTAAAGTGTTTTTCCATTGATAGGGCCTTTTTTGCTTCTATAGGAAGAGCGTGAATCTTACTCCTAAAACATGAGGACCACAGAGTTTCTCTTCTTGGTCCTCTGTCAGTGTGCGAAAACAAGTGAAGCCACCTGGTAGATGACAAGTCCTGACCCATAGGTCCACCCCGCCACTAGGAAGCCCATAACGTTTACATACCGAGGGCAGGCTAGACAGTGCCAGAGGTTTACTAATCATTAGAATCAACCTATGAAATGAGAATAAGAAGTTCCAAAAAGGAGATCATATTCTAATTCCCACAGCAGAAAAGACCACTTATCAAGTTGTTGGTGGTCACACTTCAACAAAAAAGCAACTTCTTTGATTTTACAGGAAAAAAAGTTAGCCCTTGGCCATCCCCATTTGAATTTCACTGCCCTTCTCAATTTCAGAAGTATAGGTTGTCACATCAGAGGAAGAATCTTGGTCAACACTGGCCTGGGCTAATGCCTCCTCATCCTTCACCCTTCACATCCAACCAAACTGCTCTTCTACCACCCCAACATCCTTCCCATCAACACCCTTCTCTTTACATGCCTGGCCACCACCCTTGTTTCTGCTCTCGTCCTCTCTCGCCTGCACTATTCCAAAAGCCTCCTCTTTGCCCCCTCCCGCACACATTTTAATCCATCCCCCACAAAGCCGCCACAGTGATTATCCTAAAGCACATCTCTAACCAAGTCACTCCCTTATCCAAACTTTGCTTCTAAGATAAAACAGAAATGCCTCTCTTTGACTTTCAAAGACTTTCACAACCTGGCCTGAGTCTCTCTTTCTGGCCTCATTCTATATTACTTCCCTATATCACTCACACACTCTACTGTCCAATCAAACTGGCCTTCTTGATGTTTGCCACACGCAGCACTGCATTTTCCATTTCTTGGTCTTGATGCCAGCCATCCCCTATCCCATCCCACTTCTGCCTTAAAGAATCCAGCAGTTCCTTCAAGAGTCAGCCCAAGCTTCACCTTCCACATGAAGTTTTTTCTGCTCCCTCTCCCTCTCCTCACTGATAGTGGACATTACTTCATACTCATTACACACACACACACACACACACACACACACACACACACACACACAATCAACTTGAAAACAGTGACTATTTCATTTTTGTCTATCACCAACTCCTACCACAGTGCCTCACATACAACAGGCCCTAATAAATGCTTGATCAATCATAAATTTAAGGTAATATTTATTTCATAAGTATCAACAGAAGGATAACTTGGGAATATTTTTTACCTGAGCTGGCTTCTCACTGATATTGATCTTTTGCCATCACATATGTCTATATAAAAACTATAAGGCATCCTTGACTCTGGCCCAAAGTCTCTCTAAGGATGGTAATTATAACTAACATTTATGTAGTGCCTTGAGGGTTGGCAAGGCACTTCACAAATATAATCTCATTTGATCCTCACAACAACCCAGGGAAGTTATTTGCCCAGGGTCACACAGACAGCTATGAAGTGCCTAAGGCCACATTTGCACTCTGATACCAAGTCCAACAATTTACCCATAACCACATCCACTGTGAAATAACATATGGATGATGAAGAATTTTCATTTCTAAAGGGAAAGCCTACCTGTTGATTAAATGCTGAATTTCCACCTGGCATAGGTAAACTAGAAGGTGCAACTTGAAGTAAATCCAGAGGAGAGCCCGGGTTAACGCTTTTATTCTCATTTGTGGAATAATTCCACACCAAGGCACTTGGGCAGCAAAGAGTTACGGTCTGAAATAAACAAAGGAGGAAAATTCCATTATTGAGGGAAACTGAAAAACAACAGATGAGACGCTGCTAGTAATGATGGTGACTAAATATTCTGCTCCCATTCCCCCCCATTCCAGACAATCCAAGGCAAGGACAAGAAAATCCATATTTCACACACACAAAAAGGAAGGGAAACCAGCAGGAAGTGGCGAGCTGACTGAACAAGCCAGCAGGAGGCTGAAACCCTACATTTCTCAGCCTAACACCCCAGTCCCACTGACGCGGCTCGGAAATGAACCATCTTTTCCCTGACGCTGAGAAGAAAATTCATCTTCATGAAAATAAAGATGTCTCTGATTAGTCATTGGTTTTTCTAAATTAGAAATTTAATTAAAATGTTTAATTTTCTTGCATCATCAAATCTAAAACGGCATCTTGAAATCAGTGGGTTCTCTCTGCATCTATCTTACTTTAATGTGACCTTCCAATAACAGCGTTTTTTAGATAGTTTCTTTGAACGTTGAAAAATATCATAACATCTTACAAAAAAAGTAATTGAATTTGGGGAACAGCACAAAAAGAGTTAGGAGAAAATGTGAAATCCAAACCATTTATACCTATAGAGCACAAAGCTAAATCCTAGTCTTTTGGGGTTTTTTTTTGGGGGGGGGAACTGAGGAAAATTAAAGTCTGAATTAAATGATGGCTGTTGTCCAGTCATTTTCCAGTCATGTCTGACCCTTCATAACCTAATTTGGGGTTTTCTGGGCAAAGATACTGAAGCAGTTTGCCATTTCCTTCTCCAGCTCATTTTACAAATAAGAAAACTGAGGCAAACAGGGTTAAGTGACTTGTACAGGGTCACATGGATAGTAAGTGCCTGAGGCCAGATTTGAACTCAAGAAGAGAAATCTCCCTAATTCCAGGCACCCTACACTCTACCCAGTGCACCACCTACCTACCTGCCCCAAATTAAATGATAGCAATTTGCAATTCTGATGAGAAATTTAATTTATTTATAAAACATACCCATAGAAATAGACGGGAGTAGACATTAAACTCTGAACAAAACCAGAGTGTCCCACCTTCTTTTCCCCACTTCATAAAATAGGCTGTTCCTCTTGTAGGCCCCCTCACAGTTAAAAAGTATGTACAGACCATTATTGGTCCACAGACCTCAAATGGAAAAATCTCATTGTGCATGAATTCAGTCCATGGGAACTCCGAGTAGGGCAGGTGTGTTTAGATGGGAAAGGAGCTATCATGACAGACAAATGACAAAATCCTGATGTCGTCCTAGCAATTATCCAATCAATTATTTAAGCTTTTATTAAATGTCTGCTATTCACTGGACACTGAGTCTGGCACTAAGGATGCAAATAAAATAGAGGAAACTATCTCTACTAGTTGCCATCTTGTCTAGTTATACAAAGAGGTGTCAAAAGTGATTTGGAGAAGACAGCTACTGAATCTTTCCATGCCTCCTTGAGTCTAAGCATTATTGATGCAAATCAGAAAAATCAAAAAGTCAATTACCAAGAGCAAAACCATTTTCCTCTCAGGCTGTCAACAGGTCTGCCCTTGAACACTCTTCCAAGAATCATTTAGGCATGAAAAGACAACCTACTCAGGTCTGGTGAAGGAAAACTGAAATTTCCCACAAGTGCCAACGGTCACCAGTTTTGTGTGTATGTGGGTTTGTGTATGTGTATGGCTTTTGTGTTGCTGCTGTTGCTCTTGGCCTATGATTTCACCAGGGTGGAAATCCTCTTCACCGACAGATCAGAAACTCATCTGCAGCACCTGGTTTTAGAGAGAAATGCTTGGCACACTAAGAGATTAAGTAACTGGCCTATGGTCACACAGGTGGCTTGCTTGTGTGTGTGCGTGTGTGTGTGTGACAGAGAGAGACAGAGATCGGGGCAAGACTTGAAAACCCTGGGGCAGGTAGGTGGTGCAGTGGATAGAGCACCGGCCCTGGAGTCAGGAGGACCTGAGTTCAAACCCAGCCTCAGACATGTAGTACTCACTAGCTGTGTGACCCTGGGCAAGTCACTTAACCCCACTGCCTAGCCCCCCCAAAAAAAAGACTTTAAAACCCAGATCTTCCAAGTTTGTAAGCAGGCCCACTAATCATTAGGCCACAGTGTCTTTGAGTTTCAAAATTCTACCCGAAATCCATAGTCACCAGACCTAAGGTAGCCAGTCCTCTGGCTGGGAAATTAAAATATCTCCATCAATATCAGTGCTCCTTGGGGAGAAAATACATTAAAAGCTCTACAATCTACAAGTGGAAGATGCCATATTAGATGCTGTCACACCTACAGGCATTTGAATAGCACCCTTAGAAGGAGCATCCGATAGAAAGCCAAGGCTTAAAGGCATACCTGCAGCATGCAACTAAGTCCATAAACCAGCGGACGATGCTGTGGGCAGGAAAGGAAGTCGGAGCCGGACAGCTGGACCGGGCTCATTACCGGCCCAGGAGCAGCAGGGCTTGACGCTGACAGACCTGGATTGTTTGGGCCAATCATCATGTGAGGTGAATGTGCAGCCAGGAGGTTGGGACTATCGTTCAGCAGGAGAGACAGGCGCCGGGCACAGAAGTAAGCAAGACGACGGGACAGATAAGCTGACTGAACAAACTCTTCTGAATACTGAAAGAGAAAATACAGCACTGGAGTCAGTCATTTCATGCCCGGCTGGTCTTCAGAGTTCAGAAAGAAGAGTTCATCTTTTTTCCCCATAAAAGTCTCAGATGCATCACCTTAAATTTAGGTAAATCATGGTGCAGCTATTAAAATAAACCTACTGACCATGACGTGGACTTAAGGAAGGCAAGGAGAGGCCTAAAATAATTTAACACTCCCTATTTTTTCCTTTTGAAGACTATTGGAGTTGGTTCCCAAGGAAATCTGCATTTGTGGAGGAAACTCCAGGAAGAACTTTCAGATTGTGTTAGAGGAAAAGGAGCTGCAAAGGGCATTGGATTGGAAAATGTGGGATCACAGAATTTCCAAGTAGAAAGGACCGCAGGAGCATCTCAACCATCCAAACGGGAAAAAAAATCCTCTCAACCGAATTCTCCCAAATGGCCGCCCAGCCTTTATCTGAAGAGAAACACGCCACCTTCCATTTCAACCCATTCAACTTCTGGAAAAACAATTTAAAAGGAAGCTTTTCCCAATGTCAAGCTTACATTTCCATCTGCCACTTCCCTCCATTTCTTCTTGCTCTTCCCTTTGGGGCCCAAAAGAACAAGTCTAATGGAGCTCCATATACTTGAAGGCAGCTGCATTTGACTCTGAGGGATTTTCCTCTTCAAGAGAAAGCTCAACATCCCCTGTTCCTTCCATTCATACGTGACATGGACTCAAGGCCCTTCACAATCCTTGTTGAACTCCCCAGGACCCTCTTCTTGTTATCAAGATGTATCTTAAATGTGGTTGTTGCTGTTTGTCTGAAGGACCATGACATCAAGAAGGTGATGCCATGACTTCCAAGTGAATTGGATTTAAGTGAGGGAGGACTGTGCAAAGTCACCAGCTTCACTTTCTCCTCTGGAACCATCTGGGTCCAGTGGCAAAACAGAAATCAGGACGACTGGAGATGGCCCCAATGCAGTGAGAGACCTTGGCCTTTTTAAGCTAAGGTCTTTCCCAGGTCCCAGACCCACTTAGGCATTGTTAGGGCCCTGATGGCTCAGATGGAAGGTAAATACCAATTGTTTCTGTTTTGACCAGAAACCCTGAGGGTCTTCCCCTCCCAGATTGATTTTGTTTTGACTAGGTAAAAGAGGCCATTCTTTGCCTCATTTCTTACCTAGCCTTCATCACTGAATGCATGAAGTCAAACGGAGAACTTAAATGTGTTACCTAGAGCTGCACATTAGTAGTTACATGATCCTGTTTGATGGTGAGCTCCTTGGGCGAAGGAACTACCTTGTGCCTCTTTGTATCCTGGCATATAGTGGGCGTTTAATAAATATTATTTGAATGATTGATATGACCTAAGTGGGACAGAGTATGGCGTAACTGTCACCTTTTAATTTGTAGGAGCTGGGCCTCTAATACAGCCCAAGATCGCATTAGTTTTATTTTTGTTTTTTATGTTGGCTGGCATATTACACAGTTCCCACATACTGAGTTTACAGTCCCCTAACCCCTGAAGATTTTTTTGTGATGTAATTGGGTAAAAAATAAAATATTAAATTAAAATTTAAAAAGAGACTTTTGTAATCCAACTGCTCTCTGCCATGCCACCCACTCCCCATCTTGTACTTGTGAAATTAATTCGGTGAAGCCAAATTAGGACTTCCCATTTACCTGTGAAGATAACTGACCCAAGCCTCTATTGGGCTATCCTTCATTCAAGTCCCACTCTAATGATTTATCCTGGCATAGAGATGCCTCTAAATTCTCAAAAGTTGGTTCATGCAAGCAAATGTAAAGTATGGGCACATAAAACCAGGGACAGACAACTGTCTTTCAAGAAGCAATCTCGGTCATTTCTGGGCAGATCATCAATAGTCAGCTACCATGGGATGAACTTTTTGGAGGCTGCAGACTTCTTCTCTACTCTCTCTCAATGATTTCTCTAGTTCTCTTGGGTTCAACCACATCTCTACCCAAAACCATGTATACAGCCTGCTTCTTTCCTCTGAGCTCCATTCTCACTACCTGCCTGCCAGGTGTCTCCACCTGTTGGTCTTCTGAATTCACAGTCAATGTTCCTTTGAGGCAGAAGGAGGAAGGAAGAAGAAAGAGACAGGTTTCCCACCCCATTACTCGCCACCATCGTATAGTGTGTGACGTGCCATTTCTTAGCTTGACTATCTTTTATCAGACCTATTTATCAGTAATTCAATGATAAACTGCACCTGCAGCATTAGCGGTAGTAGTAGTTTGAGGAGGTCGTCATCTACTGGTCTGATTTTTTCCAGGACATCCAGGATCCAGGTCAAATATTCATGCCGTTCAAGCATTCCTTCCTAAAATAAAACAAATATGTGAGAGGCAGAATTAGTCCATGGTGGACTCATGAAGGAGCACTAGAATCTGGTTACTTTCAGCTTCTACAATAGCACATGCTCCCTGAAGGCCCCTTCTTATTTCCTCATTCCCATCCTTATTAACCTTATCCTTTGCAAGTCCTTCCCACTTCCATTGAGCCCTCTGAAGCTCTCTTCTACTATCAGAAATGGTCTTTCATTAAGATCTGTGCTCCCCGCCCCCTGAAATTAGGTTGTATATGTTTCATATATAGACATGTATTGTTTCATCCTTCACAGAAAATAGAAGGTAAGTGCAGGGATTACTTTCTTGTGTTTCTGTACCCCCAGCATTTAGTAAAGTATCTGGCACATAGTAAACACTTAACATAAATTGACTAGAGTAGATTTTATTTTAGCCTCTACTAAATTTCCCCAATTCTTGCAATCATGACTTTCCTTAAAACTATAAACAGCAGGTGATTTTGCTTTAGTCTAAATCATTAATTCTCAAGCTTTTTGGCCTCAGGACTTTCACACACACACAATCCCCTCACAATGGGTTTTTGTTTATGTAAGGTATATCTATTGATATTTACTGTATGAGAAATTAAAATGTCTTAATATTATTATGAAAATAGTGTTGACCTCACATATGCCCTGAGAGGGTCTTCAAGACTCCCAGGAGTCTCCAGACCATACTTTGATAGCTGCTGGTTGAAATAAATTCTAAACAAAGTCTAATCTAAAGAAACAACCAAAGAATTCACTAAGTGCCTACTGTGTGCCAGGTAATATGCTAGGCACTATAGACACAAATACAAAGGACGAAACAATTTCACAGCTCACGGTCTAGCAGCCATATCAGCACCAATAGATTTATGAACAAATACCCTCACGGCCCACTATAGAATAAAATGATGGATTTTAATCTTTAACGTCACTTTTTTCTTACAGAACAGAAGAGTGTTAACTGTGATAAATTAGTACACATACAGATGAAAACAGTTGACTATACACATGAAAGAGAATGTGCCATAGTAGATAAGACAGCTGGCCTTGAAGTCAAAAAGATTTGGGCTTAATTCCTGCCTCTGGTGTGTATTTGTTATGTGGTCCTGGGCAAGTTACATAACCTGTGCCCACATACAACTCTCTAAGACTAGATATGGCAGAGCAGGTCCAAATATGTCCTAGGAGAAGTGAACTCACTGAGCATTCCCCACATCAGTGATATCTCAGGTCTAGGTCAAAAACATAGAGACAGGGATATATAAAGACCTGGGTCTAGGATTTCATGGGTAGAAAGAGCTCCTTGGGACAATATACATACAAAAAATTCATATAGATGTGTGTATGCATATGAGAGAGGGGTAGTGAGGGGAGAAGGAGAGGAGGAGAAATAGGGGGAAATGAAGGGAGAGGAAGAGGGAAAAGGAGAAAGAAAAGAAGGAAGGAAAGAAAAAAAGAAAGAAAAAGAAAGGTTAGTTAAGTGCATTTTAATTAGCCTTGAATGAATCACAGGAAAACCAGTGCTTCTTGGAAGAGTTACCTGGAACATATAGAATGCCAGTTTTTCGTTGTATTCCCACTGCTTCAACGCTTGTTCCACGTCTTGAGGCATAACCATGGAGCCGTTGCCTGGGGCTGAGGCCAGGTGATAAAAATCTGCAATCTTGGCCAATTGTTCTCGAAGGTATCTGGTAGAGATTTGGGTCCATTCTGTTAACAAACAAAAGAAAGCTTAGAACATCACTAATTTCCTAGGCAAAATAAAAGGCAACACAGAGTGTGGGATACAGTTGGCACTTTAATAAATGCTTGTTGAATGGTAAAAGAATGAAAGTGCTAAGGGCTAGAACGTGAAGTCAAGTCCTTTGACTCCAAAATCCAGGGCTTCTTTTCAGTACTATGCAGTCTGTAAGTACCAAGAGAATACATAATTTCCTTTGACTTCTAGGAGGCTACCCTCCAACTCCAAATCATATAATTATACTGTCTGTAAATGAAAAATGAACTCTCAATTAGCTGAATCAGCTTTCCTGTTCTTCAGATAATCTACAGAGACTAAGGGTTAATCTTCAAATAATCTACAGATTCTTCCTCACTCTCTACCCAAAGAGAATCAGAACTAAGAACAGAATACAGAGACTTTGTGTCCAATGGGATACTCTCTCCAATCTGTTTTCCCAGTTGACAAAGATTGTTGGGAAAACTAGCAAGTGATCTGGCAAAAATTAGGCTTAAACCAACACCTTATGTCATATTCGACAATATGTGTGACCAAAAGCTAGATAAGGAGCCAGAGATAGGTACAAACATTTCTCAAAAGAATTGCAAACTATTACAGCTATGAGAAAACTCATATTATGAATATGAATCATATGAATATTATTAAGAGAAAACTCAAATCTAAATTACTGATAAGAAGTCACCTCAAAGCAATCCTGAATTTTCATGTGACAGCATGAAAACTGGCAAAGATGGAAACAGTCAATGTTGGAGGGTTTGTGGGAAGATAAGCACACTAGTACATTGTTAGTAGAGCTGTGAATGAGTACAACCATTTTGGAAAGCAAGCTGTAATTATACAAATAAAGGGACTAAAATGTCCATACCCTTTGAACCAGAGGTGGGACTAGGCTTATACCCCAAGAAGGTAATTGATTAAAAGAAAGTCCTCATATACACCAAAATATTTGTAGCAGCACTTTTTGTGATAGCAAAACAAAGTAGATGCCCATGATCTGGCGAATGCCTACACAAATCACCGTGCTGCAAGAAATGATGAATGTGGTGAATACAGAGAAGTATGAAAAGATCTTCACGAACTGATGCAGAATAAAGTGAGCAGAACCAAGAAAACAACATATACGATGACAACAGTAATGTAATAAAAAAAAACAACAACAACCTAATGTTAAAGGAATTTTTGCTTCCTTTTATTATTTGGGATTTAGGGCAATTCCTTCCGCAAATTTTGGTTAACTAAGTATTAATTTTAACTGAATACTAACTAGCTTCACCTGACCAAAACCATGGGACAGGAAAATTTACTTAGAACCTTAAACATTCCTTAGATAAGGAACCAGAAGAAGAATCTCAACTGACTCCTTGGCAACACGTAAATCTTTTTCCTCAATCAGCCCATTTGTGAAATCTCTAAATTTAATCTGTAACTTGACTTGGTTTACCTATAGAGCTTTTTTGACAGTCTTTCCTTACGGAATATATGGGATTATGAATCTGTTTAACTAAGTTTGTTGAACTTTTATGACATTGATTATGGATCTATGTTTTAACTTTAAACTTTTAACTTTGGCCTACAAGGAATGTACAAGATTGCAATATGTAAAAGAATTATTTCTCTGTCACTCTTGACATAATTTTGTCTACAAGAGGCCTTGTCAGAATCCTCATGACGATTCAGCTTTTGTCTTAAACGTAATAATGAAACCTAGCTTTTTACCTCTATAATTTCTGCACAGTGAACTACCACATGAACTCAGAGGAGATATTTCTCCTATAACACTCATCAGAAGTGAATGTTGTAAAATTGGGTCTAATCCTAGTCTAGCTGGTCTAATCCTAGATGACAGTTGAAGGAAGGCAATAAACAATCACAAGGCATAGATGCGCCAACGTTCCAAGAGAACTCCATTCTAGGGGCAACAAACAATTTCAAAAGGATCCAGGGATCCATTTTCAAGCTTTCATAAAGAGATGATTCCCAAAGGATAGTGAAGGCCATGGAAACTTTGCCTCACAGAGGGATCCCCCACCGCCATTTAAAAAAAAACAGAGATGGCGCTCTTTGGAACAACTTGGTTTTTCCAGGATTCCATAGAAATTTCCAAATGTGGCTGAACGAAAATGCCAACTTCACTACCTATTCAGTAGTAACTCACTGAACAGTAACTAAAAAGGACTGAAAATTCTCTTTTCACCCTTCTTATCATTCTCTGTGAAAAGATGGTTTTCTCAAGGCAAATTATGACCAATTCCTCAGGGACACGATGAAAAATCAGACAGAATGATTCATTTGCATTTCTTATGCCACAGACCAGGAATATCTGAAAATAACTCCAAACCAGAAGCAGTTACATATTGTTGTTCAGTTGTTTTCAGTCATGTCTAACTCTTCAAGACCCCAGTTGGGGTTTTCTTGGCAAAGATACTGGAGTGGTTTGCCATTTCCTTCTCCAGCTCATTTTACAGATGAGGAAACTGAGGCAGACAGGGTTAAATAACTTACCCGTGATCGCACAGCTAAGTAAGTATCTGAGGCCATATTTGAACTCACATCTTCCTCACTCCTGGTCCCATGCTCTTTTCACTACGTCACTTAGCTGCCCTTAAAACTTATCTAGAACATGAAAACTCATCTACTGAGTATGAGGAATTTCCAGAGCCTGATGTGCATCTATTCCCTTTGGCTTCGGGGATTAAAGAATGAAATCCACATTTGGATCACTTCTAAGAATAAGGCAGATGGTATGTATAAATAACAGTTTTGCTTTATCACTACCTGAGTGAGGCACAGTGGAGAGCATTGGGGTCAGAGATAGTTGGTGTATCAAGTCCTACTGAGTGCTAATTAACTGCCTTTGGTATGGAGATGAATAATAGGTAAAAGAGGAAAAATGGCACCACCCAAGCTTTTAAAATACATCAAAAGCCTCAAATTCAAAACACTGCACTCTTAATGGGAGATAAATAGAGTGTTCTTTCCCACTCCTTAAAAGGCTGTCTTTTTTTAGTTTTTTCCATTACAGAAATACCCCATCACTGTCTCATTATACCTGCTAGTGTATACCTTTTAACATACATACTTTTTTATTTTTCCTACATTACACCCTCTTGTTCAGAATTTATATTTTCTATGCTCATTAAATAACGTTTTTATATTTTTTCCCTTTTTATCCTCCCTACAACTTTATCATTCCCACCCCACTCTAAGCCCATTTTTAGTCTCTTGAATAACAATTACTCATTCAACACATCAATCTGAGCACTCATTTTTTCCTCTACATTGATACGGCAACTTAATTGCTTTGGGAGGCTTCCTCCTAATATGTAGTCAACATATATTCACTATATGGTAAATGGTTGTGGTTCATGGTCATAAATCACCCAACCACTGGAAAGTAAAGTTGCAGTATGTTGTGTGATAGATTTTTAATTGTTTCAGATTAACAGGTTGAGATGTGGAGTCACAAAGGTGGAAAGCAAAAAGACTGGGGGGGAGAGGGGACGCTGACTGTCAAAGTCTCAGTACATTTTATGAGTCACCTTTATTTGACAATGAAAGTACAACATAAGCTATGTTACCACCATTATCAATTTTTAAGTATTCAAAAATGAATCAGAAGCTCAATCATCCCACTCACTTAAACAAATAGGGAAGAAAAACTTCAATTACATCCATCTTCTAGAAGTTTTAGACTAAGGAACCAACCCATGCACTTATCAATAGACACATTTAAAGAATGGATAACTTTATAAGAATACAAGCCATTCCCCAATTGATAAATGGTCAAAGGACATGAACAGATAGTTCTCAGATGAAGAAATTAAAGCCATCTATGGTTATATGAAAAAATGCTCTAAATCATTATTGATTAGAGAAATGCAAATCAAAACACCTCTGAGGTACCACATCACGCCTATCAGATTGGCCAACATTACAAAACAGGAAAATGATAAATGTTGGAGAAGATGTGGGAAAATTGGGACACTAATGCATTACTGGTGGAGTTGTGACATGATCCAACCATTCTGGAGAACAATTTGGAACTATGCCCAAAGGGCTATAAAAATGTACATATCCTTTGACCCAGCAATAGCACTTCTAGGGCTATATTCCAAAGAGATCATACAAATGGGAAAGGACCTACATGTAGAAAAATAGTTGCCGCAGCTCTTTTTAGTGGTGGCAAAGAATTGGAAATTGAGAGCATGCCCATAAATTGGGGAATGGCTGAGCAAGTTGTGGTATAAGAATGTAATGGAATACGATTGTGCTATGAGAAATGATGAACAGGCTGACTTCAGAAAAATCTGGAAAGATCTGTATGGTCTGATGCTGAGTGAAGTGAGCAGAACCAAGAGAATGTTGTGCACAATAACAGCCATGTTGTGCGAAGACTAATATTGATAAACTTAACCCTTCCCAGCAATACAAGGATCTAAGACATCTCCAGAGGCCTCGTGATGGAAAATGCTATCCACATCCAAAGAAAAAACTATGGAAGTTGAATTGCTATCTTTTTTTTTCCTCTTCTGTTGAGTTTTGTTTCCTCTTTCTGATGGTTCCTCCTACTGGTTTTAATTTTCACTTACAACATCACTAATGTGAAAATATATTTAATAGAAATGTAAATGTATAGCCTATAAGAGATTGTGCGCCATCTTGGGGAGGGTGGTGTGGGGAGGAAGGGGGGAGAAAAATTTTAAACTCAAAAGCATATGGAAGTGACTATTGATAAATTAAAATAAATTAATTTAAAAAAAAAAGAATGGATAACTGATGCTTTCAAATAAGTAGCATGGAAGAATTTGTCCATTAGGCACAAATGAAGGTAGAGCAAGCCCTTAATGAAGCAGACTTTTTTAAAGGTGTATGTATGCAGGCCATTCTTAAGGTCTCTCGACTGAGTCCATCAATGATCTGCTGATTTGCAGACTGACAATGAGGGACATTCTGTTCTCAAAGAAGCTAC